TAGAGGCCTCTTTTGTAAGGTAGGAGCGAAAGCCTGATTCCTTTGACAGCGTTTTGTGGTGTCATCATTTCCCTGCAGGTCAAGTGACTGTCCCTGGGGCTGCCTGGATGTCCCTGCGGCTGCTAACGCGAAACCTTCCTGCCACATCTTCTGTAGCAGAGGAACTCCGAGTGAGTGTGGCAAGTATCGATGAGCCCAGGAAAGTCGTAAGAAACACTTTCGAAGAGGTGCTGCAGCATTAGAAAACAGAACTCAAGACAATAAAGCCCAGTGTTGCTGCGGATGAGGGGAAACACCAGAAGCTGCCCATTCCATGCTTGTTGGCTCCAGGATTTCTGAAGAGCACTTGGCAACAGAGTGCCAAGGGCTATGAAACTGTACCTCTCCTGATGACCCAGGGGCCTCTTTGGGGAATGTACCCCGTGAGTACTTGGACAAGTCAGAAGGAACAAATGAGATGGCACAGTTTGTTCAAAGAGAACCATGTCATTGTATTTGTAAACGATGAAAATATCCAATACAGGAAGGGGGTTCGGGAGACCATGACTTCTCAAACAATAGGATAGTTGTTGGGCTCAGGGTTGGAGAACTGCTTTAGCCTGGGTGGCTTGGCAAATCCCAATCCAGTAGAGGAAGGGCCTTCTCTACTGCACACCATCAGTCAGGGACGTAGGCTCTGAAATTAGGGGTGCCACCGTTTCCTCTCTGTGTCTGACAGGTGGATGAGGGAAGGGAGGGTTGCAGGCGAGGTTTCATGAACCAGATCTGGAAATAACAGGATTCTAACCATGCTCTAGGGGCCAGGACTCAGTCATGTGAGTGCATCTAACTGTAAGGGAGACTGGAAAACGTAGTCTCACTACAGGCCCAGAGTGAAAGGGCAACGGTTGGGTGAACACAAAGCAATGATTGCCTCATTGTTGGCATGATGCACATGTTGAGAATTCCGACACATGAGAATTTAAATAATAAGTAATATTTAGGACACAGAAACATCAATTAGGGCTAATTACTAATAACCATCAATTGCAGCTATGTGATCAACTAGGAAGTGATTTTAGAGTACTGTGGGTTTTGCAGTTGTGTATCTATTTTCCCTCCCGTGAAATGGGGGACTGTCATGAGGTGTTAAGAAGAGTGGCTGTGAAATCATGTGATCAGAGGTGAGGTTCCATTATGCCAGTTACATAATGGAGACAGCTTCATTAAAATCACAGAAACTTATTTGTGATAACATGGTTGACCCTGGAGGACGTTATGCTAAGTGAAATAAGCTAGACACAGAAAGACAAATACTGTGTGATCTCACTGATGTGCAGTCCTCAAACAGAAGCAGAGGGTAGAATGGTGGTTGCCACTGGCCACAGGGTAGGTGAAATGGGGAGATGGTGCCCAAGTGGTATCTGATGAACAAGTTCAGGGGTTCTAATAGATAGCATGGGAACTGGTGGATGTGCTAATCACTTTTCTTTAGGGGTCAGAATTGTGGTGCAGGGGGTTAACCTACTGCTTGCAATGGCAGAATCCCATATCAGAGTGCCGATTTGATTTCTGGCTGCTCCACTGCCTAACCAGTTCTCTGCTAATGTGTCTGGGAAAGCAGCAGAAGATAGCCAAGTATTTGGGCCCTTAAAACTCACATAGGAGACCTGGATAGAGTGCTGGTCTCCTGGGTTTGACCTGGCCCAAACCCGGCTATTGTGGTCATCTGGGGGAGGGGGTGAAACAACAGATGGAAAATTTCCCACTCCACCCCCCTGTTTCTCTACACTTTGCCTTTCAGGTAAATAAAATAAACCTAATAATGTTAATTTGCTTGTGGAAATCACTGCACAATGTATATGTAAGTCATGTTATATACCTTAAGTATATTTAAATTTTGTCAGTTAAGTATTTCAGAATAAAAAAAATAAGATAGGGAGAGGTTATATTTAGTGCAGCAGTTAAAATGTTGCTTGGGTCAGCCACAGCCCATATCACAGTGTCTGAGTTTAAGTTCCGGCTCTGTTCCCAATTCAAAATTCCTGCTGTTGTGCGCCTTGGGAGGCAACAGGTGATAGTTCAAGTACTTGGATATCTGCCAGTCATGTGAGAGATCAATACAGAGTTTCCAGCTCCTGGCTTCTTGCCTGGCCCAGCCCTGGCTATTGCAGGCATTTGGGGAGTGAACCAGTGGATGGAATCTCTCTGTGTTTGACCATCTATCTAAGTGTCTCTTTGTCTCTCCCTGCCTTTCAATTAAAATGAATAAATATGCAAAAGTTTAAACTAAATAACTGAAATGTTATTATGAAAGAAACAACACACAGATGTTTTCAATTATTGTTTTTCTGCTTATAAAATAAATGCCTCTCAGGGCAGGCACTGTGGCATAGTAGGTTATGCATGTCTGTGGCACTGGCTTCCCATACGGACACCAGTTCGAGTCCCAGCTGCTCCACTTCCCATCCAGCTCTCTGCTGATGGTCTGGGAAAGCAGTAGACAATGGCCAATGTGCTTGGGCCCCTGCACCCATGTGGGAGACCTGGAACAAGCTCCTGGCTCTGGATTGGCCCAGCTCCAGGCATTCTGGCCATTTGGGGAGTGAACCAGCAGATGGAAGATCTCTCTCTGTTTCTCCCTCTCTGTCTGTAACTTTGCCTCTTTAAATTTTAGTTTTTTTTTTTTTTTTTAATCTTTATTTATTTATTTGAAAGAGTTACACAGAGGGAGGAGAGGCAGACAGGGAGAGAGAGAGAGGTCTTCCATCTGATGGTTTAATCCCCAGATGGCTGCAACGGCTGGAGCTGTGCCGATCCGAAGACAGGAGCCAGGAGCTTCTTCCGGGTCTCCCATGCGGGTGTGGGGGCCCAAGGACTTGGGCTATCTTCTACTGCTTTCCCAGGCCATAGCAGAGAGCTGGACAGGAAGTGGAGCAGCCGAGTCTCGAACCGGCGCCCATATGAGATGCTGGCGCTTCAGGCCAGGACGTTAACCCACTGCGCCACAGCGCCAGCCCCAATAAATAAATGTTTTTTAAAAATGCCTCTTACTGTAGAAAACTAGAATGATACTTAAAAGTATGTATCATTGTGGACATTTCTTCCATCACACAGACTATTATGTGGGAGTGGTTTTCAACAGATGACGTATCTTAAAAAGTTCACCAGATCTGGACTGCTGCTGTGCTCCTGAGTATGTTGATCTGTGACTTTCCTGGGGTTTTTGTCTCCTGCAGGTGTTGACAGTGCCCCAAGCAAGGAAAAGTGCTTTCCTAAGGGTCTGACCATGTCCACAGGCTGTTAAGTAAATGTCGAGGTTCTGTGCTCACTGCCTGTTTTCTGGGCTTTTCTTCTTTCATTTCAAAACAAAACAAAGTCATACTGCTCAATATTCAGATAGCTACGAGTCTAGACGGGATTATTAAGTGGTGCCTTTTTTTTTTTCCAGGGAGGACAATGATAAGAGATCTAACATTCACTCCACATAGCCCTGGGTAATTTTTTTTCTGTCATCTTTAAGGATGATGCACAATGTGTGAATATGGCCCACAACTGAGGCCTAATTACGATTCTCCAGCGAGCTTCCCACTGCATTTTGGAGGAAGCCTTGAGTGAGCACTTAAGCAGTAATGCCTCCGAACACACCGCTGTGGACTCGGAGGAGGGCTTTGATTCCTGCACCAGGAGCAGGCTGCTCCCACGCTGCTCCCACAAGCACTTTTATCACCGAGTTATTAGACCATTATGGTCTACGATTGTCTTTTACCGCCTTTGATTTTTTTTTTTCTGTTGTCAGACGTGAGGAAAGTGATGTGTAATATGATCCAAAATGCTCTGGTTTGTTTTAATCTACTGTTTTAAGACATTATGGCTTCCTGCCATTACCCTCCCTCTGGTAGGGCCCTAGGGCTCCTAGGAGAGTCTGGGGCAGGCTGGGCACTTTGGGGCCTTGGTGCAGAGTGGGGGCCTCGGAGCCTGGAAAGTGCTCTGAAACCTGGTCTGGAGGCCTTGGAAGCCACTGGAAAGGGGCGTGGCCTGTGGACTGTGCAAGTGAAACTGGCTCTTCAAGAGAACTCTTCCAAGCTGTGAGTTCCAGCAGGTGCTTGTGTGGATTTAAGGTCTTTGTTTTCAGTTGCTATAACTTAATTTCTTTTCTTTTCTTTTTTTTTTTTTTGACAGGCAGAGTGGACAGTGAGAGAGAGAGAGACAGAGAGAAAGGTCTTCCTTTTCCATTGGTTCACTCCCCAACGGCCACTGTGGCTGGCGCACTGCGCTGATCCGAAGCCAGGAGCCAGGTGCTTATCCTGGTCTCCCATGGGGTGCAGCACTTGGGCCATCCTCCACTGCACTCCTGGGCCACAGCAGAAAGCTGGCCTGGAAGAGGAGCAACCAGGACAGAATCCGGCGCCCCGACCGGGACTAGAACCTGGTGTGCTGGCACCGCAGGCGGAGGTTTAGCCTATTGAGCCGCGGCGCCGGCCACTATAACTTAATTTCACAGTTTGGGTCATTTAGAAGGAAGAGAAATGCATGTCTTACAGTCCTGGAGGCCAGGAAGGGCAAGAGCAAGGGGTGTACCTGGCGAGAACCTTTTGGCCAGTGTGGCTCCTCTGTAGAGTTCCAAGGGCACAGGGCACCCCATGCGTGGTGAGACAGACCAAGTTTGCAGAGAGAGTTCGCTTTCCTAACGACTCCCTCAATAAATGCATTTATCCATTAATCCGTGAGTGGCCGAATCAACCAGGAGGGCAGAACCCTCATGATCTAATCACCTCTTAAAGGCCCCTCCTGGGTCCACCTATAATCCTGCCTCTGCCTGTCTGTAACTGCGTTTCAAATAAATAAGAAAAACAAACAAACAAAAAACCCACACACACACACACACACACAAAACAACAACAAACAAATTCCACCCCGAGTTTGGAGGGGACAGCCTCACCTCGGAGGCGCTACAGCCTTCTTAGTCTGAGGCGGGTTGCAGCACACCTGGCTTTTCAACGCGGAGGAGAGAGACTCACCAGCAAGCGCTGCTTCTGTCATGGCCGGCAATGCGTGTCCGTCTGGTTCTGACTGGATCGGGCGGGCTTCACCGAGTCAGCCTCACCCACCGGGGACCGAGGTCTGTCACCTCACGCGGGTGAGCCCGGGCCTCCACAGAGGAGGAAGCCGTGAACCTTTAACAGCCAGTGTCCTCCCTGCGGGACCAAGGAGACCCGAGTAAGACCGGAACCAGAACGACGGCGCCTTTTCGGAAGCGAGGTGGGAGCCGGCTCCGTGAACAAGGAAGATCCGGTCAGAACCGCTTCCGTGGCGCTGCGGCTTCCACAGAGCCGCTGGTTCTCGCCGGCGGGAAAGCCTGCCGCGAGCCTGAGGAGAGGCAGGTTTGCGCTTTGGCTCTTGTCTCCTTGCTAAGAAAGGCCGTGAACAGAGCACGTGACTACCGGAGTCATTCTGGAAAGTTCTCTGTGGGAGATGGCAGAGCCTGGGCCCCTCTGGTGGCAAGCTGGGGGCTTGCAGGGAGAATGATGGTCCATTAGCCATGGAGCAGGCAGACCCTTAACCCAAGACCCCTGCCCGGACCCCCTCATTTAATCAACCAGAAGTGTTGATGGAGTGCACGTCGGCGTCTCTCCTGCTGTCAGCCCGGTGGGACGCGCAGGAAGAGTGTTGATGACCTCTTTCCAGAAGGAGTGATGGCGGCTCAGACTGTTAGGGGACCGTCGCCAGCACTGAGAGCATAATTAGAAACGCCAAGAAAAGAGCGGGAAAACTGGAGAAGAAAGTGTTCAAACACGAAACCCCCCAAACGGCGGCCTGAATCCAAGCAATATTGTAAGTAAAGAGATTCCATTTGACCTATCTGTGAGGCGTTTCCCTTCAAGAGAATCAGTGGTTCTGACCATACTATTTTTGCAGTAATAGTGCTGTAATCATATAATGAAATGGCTGCTAGTTTTTTTTTTTTTTTTTTTAATTATCAAGACAAGATTTAGTTACTGTGGTAGGCAAGAATTGTGTGTGTAATGGACACAGTGGAGGTGCCTTTGGGAATATGTGTCCAACAGCTGACATGGTGCAGGTGCGGGTGGGAGGGTGGGTGGGAGTAGTTCTCCAGCTGTGGGATTCAAGTTGTGAGCAGCCTGAGGGCAAGTGTAGGGGTACAGCTTGCTTAGTTTAACTTTGGGATGAAAAATGGAAAAATTATAAGCTTATGTATGTTACTTAAAAGTATAAAGCTGTGTATACTATTTGAAAGTGTAAAGGCAACAAACTGAAGAACTACACCCATTAATGTAACTAACAAAACCAAGAATAGTTGAGATATGGTGGGAAGTGTAAATGAACTGTTAAAGAGTGGATGACTTGATATTATCACACTCCTGATAATAGGAGGAATTGAGATCTAAGCCTATTGTTTAGGATTATGGTGCTGATTTATCAGGAGAATAAACAACAAAAGGTTAAAAGGATTTCTTGTGAAGGGTGGAACTCAGTGGAGGAGGTGGGAAGGAGAGCTTACTTTTCATTTAATAGCAGTCTATACTGTTTGAATTTCTTAATCTTGTGCATATAGCATTTTGAATTTTTTAAAAAATATATATTTTTAAAAAATGGTGTTAACAATAGGTGTAAAGAAAGCACTAATTAAAGAATGGTTCTTCCCTGCTGGTGACATTTGCTAGGGTGAGTCTTTAGCAAATGATATATCTACTTGTCCTTTGGGGGTCCCTACTCTGTGGCTGAGTTCCTGTGCTTTGCATTGACATGCTCCATCATTCTAAATCAACATGTGCACTCAACAGTGCTATTTAAGCCTTAATAAATATTGTATCAGCATTCATGCAGGATGGTATGGCGAGAGATGGGAGCTCCGTATATGAAAGAGGGACTTTTGTCAGGGCCGTTGTGTACATATACATCAAAGAGATAGACATTGAGAGGAAGCAGATTTTCTTTGAGACTTGAAAACTTAATGGAGAAACTTACAGCAAGTTTATTCATTTCCTTGGAAATAGGAGAAAAGGTAAGGGCTTTCTGGGATACCCAGGACTTTTGTTCCTGTGCTCAAGCAAATCTATCTGAATCTGGCTAGTCATTTGGTTGTAGCCCCTCGGTGTTCTTAACAGCTTGGTCACTCAAGGTCATGGTGTCTTGGCAAGTCTCAGAGCCTTCCTATGAGAAGTGAAGTCCCTGGCCCCTACTCTAGCTGGCTTCAGGACTTACCCTGTGATGTAATGTGGTCCACGGGAAGCCAGCTCTCCACAGCTCAAATCAGAGGCTCAGGACCCTGCTTCTCAACCGAGTATGTTCATGCCCCTGTAAGCCTCTTCCCCAAACAGCCCTCCACCTGTGAGCTCACTGCTGACACTTGACTAGTTCTTGATCTCACTTCTCTTTGTTGGATAGCTGCTGGCTCCTCTCTCTTCTGGACTTGACCCTTTCCATTCTTGTGGTTTCCCAGTAGTCTGTAGCTTCATGTTCTTCCTAATTTGGGGGCCCTTTCCACTCAAACTCTTAGCCTTTCATATTGTTCTTGCCAAATGGTTAGAATGTATATTTGGTTTCCCAAGATAATTATTATGAAAGAATCAACACATTTGGATTGTACGAATGCTAATCTGTTAGAAGATGTTACTGAGTTTTTATGTTCCTTAGAGCCAACTCCAGTAGGTCCTGTTTAGAGCCCCAAGTGTCCTCTGACCACATTTACCTTGCTAACTATTCCAATACAAGTTAGCCCATGACACCTCATGTAGAATTTTTCATAGGAATTCTTTGTATTTGTTAGGACCTCTTTTGGTTACAAGTCACAGTAACTCAAGTCAAATTAGCTTAAGTAAGAAAGAGAGTTTATTGGCCTTTTAACCAAGGCCATAAAGGACTGTTTAGCCAAAGAAGTTTTGCAGACAAGCAAGACCTCTTTTAAACACCAATAATGAAACTATGAGTGTGAGGCATTGATCCAGGCAGCGGTGGTGGGACAGAGAAAGGGACAGACCTGTGAGACATGGAGCAGGTGGAACTGTCATCAGTTAGGTAAAGGGATGAGTGACAAAGAGGAGTCAGAGCTGACTCCTAGTTTCTGGAATAGACAACAGAGTGGCATTATGCCATTCAAAGACAACAATACAAGCCGACTTTGGAGGAAAATGACACATTGAATTTTAAGTAGAGTTTCAAGTGTCTATCGGATATCTAATAGGAAATTAAATATTATTTATATAAAACACAGTTGTATTAGTCTTCTTTTAATTACTTTAGGTAAAATACAAGACTCTTCTTGGGAAAGAAAAGGTTTACTTCATCTTACAGTTTGGAAGTTACAGTTCAGGATCAGGCAGCCCCATAGTCCATTGTCTGGTAGAAGCTGGTCATGGCAGGTACAGAAGAGCAATTACTTGATGAGCCAAGAAGCAGATAGAGAACAGCTAGAAAAACTTGAACTCAAGTAATAATCCTTTTGTAAGAACCACCAGTGACCTATAGACCTCCCACTGATCCCACCTTCAAGTTACCACAATTAGATCAAGTTTTTACTCTTAACCCATTGTTAATTAATATTAAGACATTAATATGTAAACATCTGCATGTGTTTTTGGGCAACAAGTCTTACTTAACACATAATGCCAGGAGAAAGATGTTGACTGTGCATATTAGCAGGAAGCAGGAGCAAAGCCAGGACTTAAATCCAGCTACTCTGATATAAGCTGCAGGCATCATAACAATGACGTGAAACTGCTCCCTGTTTTGATTTCTTGAGGGTCTGTTTTCAGGAGGGTGGTCTGGAAGATGTCAGGTTACAGTGGGTTAAGGAGTGAATGAGTGTTGATTCTGACAGTAAACTGTTACTTCAAATATTCTGATATGTAGGGAAAGAGAATGATAGCTAAAGGGAGTTTCAGGAAATATAAATTAAGTTGGGTTTTTTAAATTTTGTTGATGTTTGAAGAAAGTAGAGTAGAGTCAGACAAGTGGAAGATAGGGTAAAAGAGAGGGTCATTCTGTCCTGAGATGAATATGTAGAATGGAAGAACAGAAGCAAAGACAGATAAATTTGGCGAGTGCCAGTTTGTGCTTGCTGATGGTGTGAAGGTGGGGGCGGGGAGTGAGAGGATAGATGTAGAACAGCAGGCTTGAGAAGAGTAAAAACTATTTTTTTTTTAAGATTTATTTATTTATTTGAAAATCAGAGTTACACAGAGAGAGGAGAGAGAGAGAGAGAGAGAGGTCTTCCATCTGATGGTTCCCTCCCCATTTGGCCGCAACGGCTGGAGCTGCACCAATCCGAAGCCAGGAGCCAGGAGCCTCTTCCTGGTCTCCCAAGTGGGTGCAGGGGCCCAAGGACTTGGGCCATCGTCCACTGCTTTCCCAGGCCACAGCAGAGAGCTGGATGGGAAGTGGAGCAGCCAGGTCTCGAACCAGCGCCCATATAGGATGCCGGTGCTCCAGGCCAGGGTGTTAGCTCGCTGCACCACAGCGCCAGCCCCAGTAAAAACTATTTGTAAAACCTGGGCCCCAGAGCCAGGAAGTAGGGTTGACTCAAAGTCCAGTGGAGGTGGCTGCCACAGTCAGAGTTGCTGGTTTTCGGGGACACCAGGTCTGTGGTAGCATCAGACTTCTCTGATTTTCTTGAGGAGCTGGATGACTGAGGTGTGGAGAAGAGGAGAGTAGGATGAATCCCAGGCTGAGAATTTCAGTGTGTACAATGGAAGCTAGCAGCAGCAAAAGGCACCGGAGAGCTTGGCAGGAGTCACTGGAGAGTGGGTCTGTGCTCTGGACTAGATAGAAATCAAGATGGTGGGAGGTTGATAGATGGACAGAACAGAATGTGTGGGAAAAAACTGGAGAATACGTGTTATTTTTGATTGTGGTTTAAGATAATTTCTAGTCAAATCTTCTATAGAAGATAGGTTGCCACATAGTAACTGTAATATTAAAAACAACTGCAGAGTTCAAACTCTAACGTCAAAGTAGACAAGTTGGTTTTTTTTATACCAGAAAGTTTTTATTTAAAGAATACAAACTTAATGCTTTTCATAAATGCAACTTTAGGAATGTAGTGATACTTCCTGCCATACCTGCCCTCCCACCCATACTCCCTCCTCTCTTCCTCCTCTTTCTCCTGTTCCCATTCTTATTTTTTACTAAAATATATTTGCAATTAACTTTATACACATACTAAGAGTTCAACAAGTTGTATGAAGAAAAAAGTTCCTCAAGAGTCGAGATGAGGGCTATGCAAATCATTGCATCTTGAAGTGTTAATTTCACTTCTATAGATTACCTTTTAGGTGCTCTATTATCACAGATCAGGGAGAACATATGGTATTTGTCCTTTGGGGACTGGCCTATTTCACCAAGTATGATGTTTTCCAGTTTTATCCATTTTGTTACAAACAATAGGATTTCATTTTTTTTAACTGCTGTATTGTATTCCATATGTATATATACCATAATTTCTTTATCCAATCTTCAGTTGATGAGCATTTGGGTTGATTCCATATCTTAACTATTGTGAATTGAGCTAAAATAAACATGGAGGTACAGATAACTCTTTCATATGCTGATTTTCATTTCGCTGATTTTTTTTTTCATTTTGTTTATTTTTCCTCTAATT